ATTGCAGGGAAACACAATCAGTTACCATACTGCATATATTTTTAATGTCATACTTGTGAATAAGAGAGCATTTGGAAGCAGTTACACTTATTTATTTTTTTCACCATCATTTCCCCAATAAACTTTTAAGGTTAGTTTCTTTGGTGTTTGGGATTCTACTCTGATGGTGTGCAGTTGTTTTACATGGCCTGTGACCCTCAAACAGCTCATCAGCCATGGAAGGAATGAATTCATCACACAGGGTTTAATTTGCCCTTCACTAAGATCTTTAATTTCCACCCTGGGAGCCTTGCTCAGTTACATGGTATCTAACCTGGTGATGGCAACCTAGCAACTGGGTGGAACGTGGCCTACCCCAAGCAACGCTCAGGGGTAGAGGGCACAGGGAAATGTTAATTATTTACAGTGGTGGATTAGTGAAGCTGTGGGAGTTCACCCAGGCCACTGACCACCATCTACTGGAGCCAATAGCTTTTTCATCTGAAGTGCACCCAGATGATATGGTTATGAGGACCCAAAAAATATGCTCGTTTAATTATACAACATTTCTGGGTGGGCAAAAAGCAGCTTATAAAGCTGAATGATAATTAAATTTAACCTAAAAAAAATCACATATTATTAGAATGGTTAATTTTCTAAGTAGCCATAGCATTTTAAGTTGTGCAAAAAATAGAGCTGCTGTTTAAATTTTAAATAGTACGTCCAACCTGTCTGGTATCATATTAAAATGGTCAAGGCTAATACTAGACTAGGTGTGCAGAATCACTGCTTACAGCATATTTGAGTGTGAGAGACATTAGCATTATTGTTAACAATATTAAAATCAGAGATTATTACATAGGACCAAGAAGAAACACTATGTTTTCTCTGGGGTGTGTGTGTGTGTGTGTGTGTGTGTGTGTGTGTCTGTGAGACAGAGTACCTGAGGCTAAACAAGAAAAGGAGGCAACACTTATTAAGCACCCACTGAGTGCCAGTTATTTTATACACATCACCTTTGGGTGAGGTAGCTATAATTATCCCCTATTTGCAGGTGGTATAACTAAGACTTAGGGGACAGTGCAGTTTGCCTAGGGTGATGAGGCTGGATCCCAAAGCCCTTTTTATTTTCACTACAACGCATGTCAGATCAAAAGACTGAAGTGCAGAAACAGAAGACTTACCACAGGGCAGTTAGGAAGGAGTGGGCAGCCGGGGAAAGGACTGGAGCCATGGGAACTGGAAGGAGGCACACCAGTTAGCTCCATTTTCATTCATACCTAGTATTCCCACATCTTCTATTATAGGAGGTTAACTTCTCAGCTTGAGCCCCAGTGTGAACTGAAGAGCCCTCGGAGAGAGCTCATCCCAGAAAGGGGGGAGACAGCACACTGCATTGGCCTGAGTTCCAAAGCCTCGGAGTCCGAGAAAGGTGAGCATTCTGAGTAGTCTGACCCATCCCATCCGAACCTTTTTCCTTCCCTCTCTCCTTCCATACACATCAGACTTGCAGTGAGGTCTAAAGGCTCTCCCTGGTTTCTTTCGTTCTCTCTACCAATAAATATCCTGTACATGTAGTCTTACCTTGGCATTAGCTTCATGCTGAACCTGAACTGACACAGAGTCATTGTCTCATCCCCTTTCCGCCATGTTACGGGCCATTAGGCAGCTCTAGTATATTGAGAGAAGGGAGCCTTGAGTGCCTGCTGGTTGTAGGCTTGTTTTTGAACATATGTGAGTCCTTCATCCCAGGAACTACAGGACACACCTGGGGACACTTTGAGATACCAGATAAGTGGGTGGGGCAAGATGCCATGAAACGTGGGCTGTGGCTGTTTGTGTGACCCCATTGGTGGCCATAGGCTGGTGAGATGATGAGGAAAATTAAGGTTATAAACACACAATAAAAATATCATACTGAACTGATGATAACTGCTATCATAAGCAAGATAAACATGAACCCCATGTTTAGTTTCTATAGCAAGAATATTATAATCATGTTGTACATGTAAATTAGGTAAAATAGAGGCAAAAATTTACTGCTTGCTGTATGCTAGGAACTATACTAAGCTCTTTATTTGATAACCCTAAGGCAGACGCTTATTTAATATCCATTACCCCCTTCTTCTATGCTAATAAAACCCTCTTTTGTTTGAGAAAACAATGAACCAGCCCCAGCTAATGGCTTATGTCACACAATCATGACACTCCTGTTTTCCATGGTCCCAGCTTCTTCTGCCCTGAGAGGTGTCCACACAACTCAGTTCTGTCCAGGAGACCTGAGCAGAAGTCTGCTGGGGTGGAGACAGAGGACTGAGTCATGAAAATGCTTCTCCTAGAAGACTACAGTAGCAAATCCCTCACCCTCTTCAGATCTTTGCTCAAATGTCACCTTCCCAGTGACACCTACCCTGAACACCTGTTTAAAATTGTAGAGCCAGGCACAGCATAGGACTCAAAACATTATGTTTTTCTTTGGGGCAAGACATGAAAAAAAAATAGGGAAAATTGCCAGAGAAAGTGCAGAATAGCAAGCACAAATGCCCCGGGACAGGAACATGCCTTGTATGTTTGGGGAATTGGAGGGGGCTGGCATGACTGGGGTGCTGTGACGTAGGTGAGGAGAGAGAGATGAAACCAGAGTGACAATGGACAGCCTGATCACACGAGGGCTTGCCGGTCCCAGTAAAGCCTTTGGCTCATGCTCTGAGTGAGCTGGGAAGCCAAGGAGGAGCTGAGAGGAAGAATGACAGCCTCTGCCTTTCATTTAAAAGTTCTGTGTGGCTGCTGTTGAGACAGATTGAAGGGGGCAAGGGTGGAAGCAGGGAGAACAGCTAGGAAGCTACTGCGAAAAGCCAAGCTGGTGATGGTGGTAGCTTGGATCAAGGTGGTAGCAAGGAAGAAGGAGAGAAGTGACCAGGTTCTAGATGTATTTTGAAGCTGTTGTCAACAGGATTTGCTCACGGATTGGGTATGGATTGAGAGAGGAGAAAAATGATGGATGATGTCTAGGTTTTTGCCTGAGCAACTGAAAGCAAGGTAATTAGGAGAACTACAGTGAGAATGGGTTTTGAAGGGAAATCTAGGCCCTCAATTTTGGACATGTTTAAATTTGAGATGTCTATTATATATCCAAGTGGAGACATTAAATAGTCAAATGGATATACAGTTCTTGCTTTTGTGGGAGAAGTTCATGCCAGGGATATAAGCAGTATTGGAAGCTATGAGATTGGATGGATTTACATAAGACATAAGTGTGGGTCAGAAAGCAAGCAAGCAAGCAAGCAAGCAAGCAAAGAAAAAAAGGGAGGAGTGTTGGGAGGGAGGGAGGGAGGGAGGAAGGAAAGAAGAAAGAAAGAAACAAAGAAAGAAACAAAGAAAGAAAGAAAAAAAAGAAAGAAGGACAGGGAGAGAGAGGAGGGTTGGGAGGGAGGGAGGGAGGAAGGAAGGAAGGAAGAAAAGGAAGGAAGAAGGAAGGAAGGAAGGAAGGAGGGATACATGAAAGAGAAAGAAATATAGTTCAAGTGCAAGGATGAGCCTTGGGACATTCCAATAATAATGATACTAACATGTGCTGGGTACCATCACCTTATCTGCAGGTGCTCATTTACCCCTTGTAAAAATGTTGCAAAGTAAATACCCTCACCTGACTGGATAGTAGGGGAATCTGTTTCACAGAGATAAGTCATCTGTCCAAAGGCACACAGACAGTTAAGTGCTATTATCTACCTGACTTTGGAGATAAATAACTTTGAGTTTAATGTCCTCCAGTAACTTAAAAACTTTGGCATCATCCTTTGTCTTGTATTCCCCATCCAACCAGCCTTTCGGGTCTATTTTCACAGTAAGGTTCCGTACAGCATGTGCTAATCCCTTACCTGGAACCACCACTTATGCCTCCTAATAGGATTTCCTGCCATTCACTTCTCCCCACCCTAATCCATCCCTTATCTTCCTAAAAATAAAGCTGATTGTGTCACCTTCCTGCTTAGCCCTTCTATTAATTCCCCATTATTTGCAAACTATAATTCAGCCTCTTGAGTTTAGGTTCTGGGAAGCTTCACAATCTGGCTCCAAGCTACTTTTCCAGTCTCATCTCCTGCTACCCTCCCTGCAAACTCACCTCCCATGCCAGTTACTTTCCTGTGACATTGAACCTCTGGTTGAGACACACCAAGCTCTTTTGCAACTCTGTTTCACATGCTGTCTCCTTTTTGTGCCCATACTGGTTAACCATCTCCCAATTACAACATTGACTGGAGGACAGACCGTGGGCACTGTGTCTTGTTCCACATCGTGGAAGAAAACTTTCAGTTTTTTGCCTTTAAGGACGATGTTACTGTAGGATTGTTTTAGATTCCCCCTTCTTTTTGTAACTGCTAAGAATTTATTGTTGTTTTGTCATGAACAGATGTTGAATTTTATCACGTGTTTTTCTGTGTCCATTTGGTATCATAAATTCTCTCCTTTAATCAGTCACTGACTTATTTTCTACTGTTAAATTAACCTTATATTCTTCGGGTAAACCCAACATGATCTTTATGTAGTATCCTTTCTTTTACATATATTTCTAGATTCCATTTGCTAATACTTCATTTAGCACATAGCCCTCCCATCTGTCAGGGGCCTGGGGAGAGCAGTGTTTGGAGGGGCAGCCAAACCAACTTGATAATTGGGAGCAAAGTTTGATTTCCATTTCTCTCTGGGATTAGGGGCTCTAAATGGATGTCAAGGCCTGGGGGTGAAGGGGATGTCTGAAGCTCTGTGTTACTAGAGGAAAATGAAACTTTCATTATTGGTAACCTTCATATTCAGTACAAAGTTCGGTACACATTCAATCCAAAAATCAAAACAGATCTTGTTGTGATAAATCAAGTTTTAATTTTAGTGAAATAAAAGGCTAATACTTACAAATAAACCTATTCAATGTTTAATTTGCTAGCTCACCTTACATAAAAAATAATGAATAAAAAGAAAACAAAGTCCTACCAAGGCCCCAAACACCCCTGCAGAAAGCCTTTCTACATCAAGTCCATGAATGACATCGTCTCTGGCACTTTGATGAGGCCGAGGTTGATGAGGGTGTTCTTTTCCAGTTCTAAGTAATTGTCATAGTCTGCTTTCAATTCAGCCTCCATCTGTTCTTTTGACTTCTGATATGTTTTCTAGGGTGAAAAACCAAATCATGCCAATAAAACATTGACAGCTAGAAATACCAAAGGAAAGAAGGGGCTAGTTTTGAGCAGTTGGCCTAGCCGCTGCTCTCTGGGAGGGGTTTGTGGGAGGGCATCTCTGGCACAGGAGGGAGAGTAGCTGCTGGCTCCCAAGGGGGAGTGGCAGAGATAGAGTGGAGAAGTGTGTGCACATTTCCGTGGCTCAGGAAGCCTCCTGCTGGAGGCCAGTTCTCCATCGTGGCCTGCAACTCCTCTCTAGCAGTGCTGCCATGAAGGTCTCCTCATGGAGAACTGAGAAGTGGGTAACACATGGCCCTTTGACACCTCTCTCCAAAAATAAAAACAAAAACCCCTTTTCTAGTCTTCTTCCTCATGACTCTTGGGTCCCTCGTGTAGCCTGGAGTGTGGATAATTGACTAGAGGTTGCAGAAGTCTTTTGAATTCCTCCCACTACCAAGTCCTGTGTAGGTGGCATAGCTTATGGATCACATGGAAACCTACTTTTTCCGGCTTTGGGTCTCCAGCTGAAATTTCAGTTAGAAAAATTCCCATTTTATGTGCTGTTAGAGCTGTGATTGCTATTATTTTTCAAGAGGTGAGCTGTATTCAGACTCGGTGTTTGCAAAGAGATAGGTGTATGGTTTTCCTCAGATTTGTGGATCAATGTGTACAACCCAATCCCTGGCAACTGCAGGGCATTCATTCAGACAAGCCTTGCTGGATGGATGTGTGTTCTTCCCGTGCCTTCTGCGATAATAGCAGCGAATGCTTACTACCGTTTTCTCTGTGCCAGTTCCTGGCTAAGTGCTATAAACATTTTGACTCATTTAATCTCTGCTACAGTCCTCTGAGGTTGTTACAGTTTGTTCCCATTTTCCCTTTTATCAGCAGTTGCTCCTTAGAAGATACTTCTCACAACATTAGTTGTTTTTCCTTGGTGACAATTTTCATGTTCTAAATGTAACAGAGGAGCCCTTTTAAACCCATTCACTTATCCCCAATCTAGTTCCAGAGAAAATTTGACAAGTGGTAGCTCTACTTAAAAGAAGGTACCATGGGGGTGCCTGGGGGTGGCTCAGTCAGTTAAGCGTCCAACTCTTGACTTCAGCTCAGGTCACAATCTTACCATTTATGCGTTTGAGCCCCTCATCAGACTCTGTGCTGACGGTGCAGAGCCTGCTTCAGATCCTCTGTCTCCCTCTCTCTCTGCCCCTCCCCTGCTCTTGCTCACGCTCTCTCTCAAAATAAATAAACTTAAAAAAAAAAAAAAAGAGGGTAATATGTCAAATGGAAATGAACTCAGTTACAAGAAGTTGGAGAGGTTTTGGAAACTCAAGCACATCATTATACAATTTCAAGATATGATTATTATAATATTTAGGTGTTTTACAAGTATTTTATATGCAAATTAATTTTGGATTATCCACCAGTCTACTTGCTTCCACTGATGTGGATAATTAGGAGCTGTCGCTATGGTATTTAAACACTGACAATAATCGTGGATAATTGCTGGCATAAAGGAAGGGTGTCAGGTTATTTTACACAACAGAATTTCAATCGGTATTTCTGAGTGTGCAAAAGAACAGCAGAAGGCCAATTTTCTGTAAAAAGGGAAACAAGGGAAAGTTAATTAATTGGTATTCTTTCATGCCTTGTGACCACTAAACCATGTTTTTGAAATGAGGCCCCCTGTTTTTATAACACTAACATGTGTCTAGCAATAAGTGATAACATTAACATTAAAATTTCCACATGCTCATGCTTTTAATTGAGACCCAGGGTCTCACATGAATAACAGTGTTGGAGGAGGTTATATATTTGGCTATAAGGAATCTATAAATGGGATCGGTGGTGAAATTGCTGGTGACAAAAGGCCTAGGAAGGGAAGGAGCAAGAGAGAAGTAGAAATACAGACTGAGATGACCCCTCGTGACAAAGAGAGAAGAGCTGAATTCACAGACTATTTCAAGGCCCCACTCCCAGTGGGTGAGGGGAGACCAATGGAGTGACAGAATTCATATCAAACAGAGGCTGGGAAACAGGAAGGTGAGGGGCTTCAGAGCTTCGGTTTCCTTTCTGGTAGAAGGATGTGTCCTCTACCAAATTCTCCTCTATCTCAAACTTTGTAGCTCCCATATATTGTATTATAGTAAAATTCATATCTATCTGTCTATATACTGGTTCCCATTTACTGAAAGTCTACTATTTGTCAGGTTCCTGAACTGAAAGCCTAATCCTAAAAGGTAGTTATCAGTATCCCCATTTTAAAAAGTTTATTTTATTTTATTTTATTTTTTCAATATATGAAGTTTATTGTCAAATTGGTTTCCATACAACACCCAGTGCTCATCCCAACAGGTACCCTCCTCAATACCCATCACCCAC